CTAATGCCGTGCGGGCCGCCTTGGTCGCTATGGCATCTCAGGCTGCTGGCTGTCACTGACGGCTGTGAGGAGGAATGCGCCGCTGTTCAGATCAATGACAACCTGTCAGTGATCTGTGCAGCAGCGCGTTCCTCCTCACAGCTGCTGCTGCATGAGGGACAGTCAGCAGCTGTGGAGGAGGAGGCTGGGCCCAGCGGCGACAGCGGAGGAGGAGGTGGGGCCTGACGACAGAGGTGGAGGCGGGGCCAGGCAGTGGAGGAGGTTGACAGCGGATCGGGGCTGACAGGTAAGAAGTGTGTGCAGGGGTGTGACCAGCCCACCTGAGACCCTGCAGAACCCACCATAGAGAGTCTATGGGTGGCTCTGCAGGGTCACTCTCAGGTGGGCTGTGTGGGATCTCAGATGGGTTCTGCAAGGGGCATAACTAGAAATCACAGGGCCCCATACAAAATGTTGCTAGTTACTTGTCATTTCTAGTTATGCCCCTTACTGTTTCAATTAATATATCAATAATTTATTTTTATTTTTTTAATACAGACAGTAAATAGCTAAATTTGACCTGACATCATCTTCTTGCAGTCCCTGTGAACCCAACACCAATGAAGCAAATGCACTGCAAGGCGTATGTTGTCAGAAGGTGGGAGCAGAGAAGGATTAAGATGAGCTCATCCATCAGTGCGCTGCTTCTCCTTCACCATCCAGTCAGAGGGTTGGGGTGGGGAGGAGACCTGTAAGTGAAATTGAAACTGCAGCAAGAAAGATCAGGTTCCCTGTCTGCCAAGCTGGCTGTGTAGATCTCAGAACTGGATGGTAGGTAAACCATATGTATTTCATCTGTGTATTTAGGTGAGTGCTTTTCACTCACCTCATAGTTCTAGCCGACCTGTGACAATGAGACTGTCACAGGTCGGCTCAGTAGATTGGGAGGTGAGCGAACACATACCGGCGTTCGCTCACCTCTCGATCCTATCACGGCTCTCTGCCGTGACTGGGGAGGGGATGGATTCCCCCCTCCCCACTCCATACCGCCAGTGCTGACTGGCGGAACGGACGGGGAGGGGGCGGGTACAGCTAGATAGGCAGAGCCAGCTGTCACTCACGCAGCTGGGCGGATCTCGACATCGATGTTGGGGTCCGCTCTGGCTGCGGCGTCTCAGTATACCGCGAGCTGTAGCTCGCGGTATAATGAGCTTAGGGTGACAGGAGGACGCTAGTTTGTGTCCTCCCGTTACCCTAAGGAGAACTATGGGGAAAAGCCCTGACCCCATAGTTCTCCTTTTACTGTCCTGTGTATAAAGGGTCAATACTTGCTTAGCTGCATATACTACCCCCACCCCTCCAATGCTGTACTATAGCAAAGAGCAATGTCATAAACAGCAGTGGCAGTTGGTTCCCAGGGGGACGGTGGCGCACTCTGAAGCAATCACAATAATTCAACAGGTTATAATAATTTACTTTCTTGTAGAATTGCCAGACTAAAAAATCAATTTCTTTATTGGGACAATATAAGTACAAAGAACAATACAAACACCTTACAATTAACAAGATTGCCTTAGGTCACAAGTGCACAGCTGGAGTCGGGCGCAAGCTGGGGTCCGGGGTGGATGAGGCTAATGGGCTCCATTTTTCAGAGTGCCTTGTTCAACACCACCAGTCAGATTAAATCCTTCAAATTCCCAACGACACTCCCAATCTCTAAATGTAATTCTGCTAGATGTAATACAGACATCTAATATTTATAGGAAAATTCCACCTTTAACAAGAAATATATAATTGCTGCAAGTTTGTATTTTTTATGTTGTTAACAATTCCCTTCACTCTACTGCAGCCAAGTGTTATTTTTGTAAAACTGGATAAAAATTTAATATCTTTTCAACACAGTAGCAGCCCCCTGTGTAGGGACTTCTGACACATCTCACTCCCTTCTTCACATGATTGGCTTCCTGCTTTTCCCGAGAGTACACAGAGCGCTTGAGGTCAAATGACTGCCATGTCCTGCAATAGAATTCTCATCCTTGTGAGATACCTTCAATCCTTAAACATATGAGGGGATCCTGCAACTTAATCACAGCAATAGAATGACTGAAATAAGAGTTCCATAGTAAAGGCAGACCTTCCCACGGAGCAAAATAAGAACACCCAAACAACATCTTAGGAGTCCAAAGTGCTTTATTGATTTCACAAGAAAGAAGCAGGCAGCCAATGTGTTTTAGGGGTCAAAAATCAGAAAACCCCCCCTTCATCAGGACCTGTTTGGAAATACAACAGCTTATGCTGATGTAGTATTGTCTTTTGGGCACTAGATGGCGCTGTGGTGCAGGCCTGGTCTATGCAGGTTTTGTATATGCATGCTTTTGTCGATGGCAGGGGTAGCCAAACTGCAGCCCTCCAGCTGTGGGGAAACTACAAATACTATCATGCATCTGCCTCAGTAGGCCATGCCTGTGGCTGTCAGAGACTTGCAATGCCTAACAGGACTTGTAGTTTCATCCCAGTTGGAGGGCTGCAGTTTGGCTATCCCTGGTCTATGGTATATATGTTACCTGTTTGATGCTGTATTCCTGTATACATCTATGCAACGTTCTTCTAAGCAAGTAAAACTTGATTCAGCATTCCTCAAAACCTCATTGCTTCATCTATACACATAACCGACAAGGCGATTCCTGAAAGTCATAAAAAAAAATTGCAGACACTCATTAAAAGATCTGTCTCCTGCCCCTGCAACAAATGGCACAACTTGTGATGGATTCATGTAAGGGTTGGTAATGTATATATGTAGAATGAGAGAAAAGAAGAAGGATCGGAGACCCGCACCAGCGCTGGAGGGACAGCTAAAAAGGACAGTAAAGAAGAAGATGATCGGATTAAGAGACATCATTTAAGGTAAGTCCTTATGTTAGCATTGTGGGGGAGGGGGGGACTTTTGACTTTAATGTCACTTTAAAGGTCCATGGTTTCGCAATAGGACAGCCAACAAGCTCATATGGCTGTGATGGTCACATGTCCAACAACTTTTCTAATGTATATTACAATGTTATAGTTCTATAAACAAGCTACTCTAGCTTTAAACTCTGTTTTTCCACCAGTTTTAAGAGTCACTCCAGTCAAGATTCAATGTTAAATTATATCTATACTCTCAATGCCTTACAGTCCACACAGTCCTCCACACTATATACCGGCATCTGCCAGACTTTGTGCCTACTAAATGATATTGTTTCTCGAAGCATTAATGTGTGCTTTCTAGGGATTACTGCTGGCCTGTGACTTTGTTTTTGTTTTCCTTGTGAATTATCTATGTTCCCCATAGACTCCGCTGGTCAGTATTCCATAACTATGATATATGGCGTGTCCGTCACCTTTAGCCGCGGCTCTGCTATTCTTTATCCCTTTCTTCCCTAACTTATAACTTATTCACTTTCATAAATAAATCATTTTCCTGCAAATATCAGGGATCCTTTCATAACTGGCTAGAGTTTATCTTCGAGCTGTTGCCTCAAAAGTCAAAAAATAAACATAGAAAATGTTAGAGGAGAAATCATGACATTCTCATGGAATAAATTATTTTTAATGTAATGAATATTTACAATTTTCCGCCCCTGGAGCCACTTCCAGCGATAAATGTTACTGTCAATATTTAAGTGGCCGATATTGTGTCGCGCAGCACGGTTTGACCGGTATATAAAGTTGCAAGTCACAAAGTAAATAATAGAGGGATGTTTTATTGTGTTGGGTAGGCAAAAGCTCTTTAGTTGATGAAACATAAACTGTCTGTTATTGAAATTAGAGAGAGACCCATCCGAGCTCTTAAAGGAGAACTATGGGGTTAAGGCTTTTCCCCATAGTTCTCCTTAGGGTAACGGGAGGACACAAACTAGCGTCCTCCCGTCACCCTAGGCTCAGCTGCTGCTCGAGGTATGCTGAGACGCCGCAGCTGAAGCGGATCCCGACAAATATGTCTGGATCCGCCCAGCTGTGTGACTGACAGCTGGCTCTGCCTATCTAGAGGCAGAGCCAGCTGTACCCGCCCCCTCCCCCGTCCGTCCCGCCAGCCAGCGCTGGCAGATCGGAGCGGGGAGGGGGGAATCCAGCCCCTCCCCTGTCACGGCAGAGAGCCGTGACAGGATCGAGAGGTGAGCGAGCGCCGGTATGTGTTCGCTCACCTCCCGATCTACTGAACCGACCTGTGACAGTCTCATTGTCACAGGTCGGCTAAATATTATGGAACCCCCCCCCCCCTCACTAGTGTCCCCATTGGAAGATTTACCATCTACTCCTGTACTGATTACAAAAATGTGGGACATTTTTTCACTTTCAGTGATAACAGTCACAAGGACCAATGGGGAGGGTGAATCTTCCTAATGGGAACACGGACAGCAATTAAAAAAAAAGTTTTGGCTTCAGTTGCATTTTAAAGCTAGAGTCCACCCTATGAATTATCACAAAGCCTACTAAAGCCCATAGCAACATTCATATGTTTTACTTTGTTATTCCAAAAGCATGGTGACCTATGAGCATACATTGCTGAATGTGTGTGTATACATAAGACATCATCTCTTTATGATTGGGGTGTATATATTGTTTATAAAAGGTTTGAAGAAGGTCCACGACCAAAGTCTATCCAGTCTACAAACTCATTTCAAATCAGGGATCAATGTTGTCAGCTGCAACATCTAATTTCTTCTAAAGTCAGCAGGTAAAATGACAGTTGTACGGGGAGCCGGAGGATCCAAAATAGTGCAGCTTCACTACATTCTGAATAGTACTGACAATACTGAATAATAGTCTACAAGTAGCTGATACCAAAACAAATTAGGATATTTACACTGCTTGCATTTAAAAAATACATTGGGGGGAATTTATCAAAACTGGAGCAGACAAAATCTGGAGCAGACAAAATCTGGAGCAGCTGTGCATGGCAACCAATCAGCTTCTCTTTTTCGTTTTCAAATCTTAACTGAACAAACTGAAGAGAGAAGCTGATTGGTTGCCATGCACAGCTGCTCTGGTTTTTGTCTGCTCCAGCTTTGATAAATTCTCCCCATTGTGATGTATTTATGATTAGAGAGCTACATTCATTTGTGCGTTTGATCTCTGTTTGGAGTTCAGCTTTAAAAATAATACAAGATGCCAGGCAGACAGGGGCAACCAAAATTAAGATAGGGGCTACTGGGCCCCCCACTGAAAATAGTCTCAATTGTGATATTTACATATGAATGCTATTTTCATATGAATAAGCCATGACTCATTCTCCCCCCCAAAAAATTTCAGCGTTTCACTAGAGTGTTCGGGTTTCGCTTGAAGAAAAGGTGGCAACCCTACACCCCAGTGGCACCAGGCGGATCATGCGGTTCCTCACCATGTGTTGCAAGTACCTTTTTTCTGTGATTGCCGCGTGGAGGTAACCCCATTGAAATCAATGATGCTGCACCGCTGTATGCAAGTGCACGCGATCGCGCGGCCCCGTGATGCACGTCCCGGATCGCCCAGGTCTGCAGCAGCTCTTACTGAGCTCAGGAGCTGACTGCTGCGAACACTCTCCAGAATGGATGAGGTCAGCTGACACTTTCAAACAGTGCTGGGAAAATAACTGCCAATGACACCTGAGACTCAAATAGTAACTGCCAATGACACCTGAGACTCAAATAGTAACTGCCAATGACACCTGAGACTCAAATAGTAACTGCCAATGTACACATCTATGTGTCTGTGTCATGTCTGTATTCTCCCCTCTCCCATCTCTGAGTTGATCTGGAACATAACTTAGACCACGTTCACACTGAGCTACATCCAAAAAAGCTACCGTGCAAATTTTGTCGCGCTACGTGGTGAGACTTTTTGCAGGGACTTCGTAGCTGCTACAATGGGCTGTAACCAATCAAAAGCGGTCTTGATGTGACATCATTCCTTCCTTCTTATATTTTTTTTGTGCAAAAGTGACACTTCTGTAGCGTGACGTACTGCGACAAAGTCTCTCAATGTCGTGCGAAATTGAGCCACACCATTAAAGTCTATTGGGCCAAATCGCACAAAATCCACCGAAAAATGATGTCATGTTCGAGCGACAAGCTTGAGCGACGAGCTACAGGCGACATTGAGCTGTGAACAGCTCCATTGAAATGCATTGGACGGGCTACCTTGAGCTGATATTTGAGCGATTTTGGAGCTGAAATCGCGCGATAAATAACTCAGTGTGAGGCCCCATTCACAATGAGCGTATCGCAAATCGCGCGTTTGTCGCGCGATTGTCATTTTGCGCAACATCGCGCGGTTTGACGCGCGATATCGCGCAAATGGTTGCATTGAGCAGGCAAAAAGGGTCCTGTTGTAGCGACCCGCGACAGCGAAGAACAGAGCCCCATTGCCATGCATTGGAGAGCGATATCGCGCTGTAAATATAAAACGCTCAGTGTGAATGGGGCCTTAACGGGGTCTTACATGTAGTTATTGATGTAATAATCCCTTGTTTGTGATTTTATTCATTTGCAGCATGATGAAATTACAATGCTGCCCAACGGATGTTGCCAACCAATCAGAGATCATCTCTCAACTGAGCTGAGTGTTGCAATCAGGCCGGTAAGCTTGGTCCTCATGACATCACAGTCACAGCAAAGCTGTGTATAAAATCAGCAGCCAGCAGGAGCTCTGCATTATCGTTACTTGTCTCAAGCAGGGACTGTTGTACTTGTGCGGTTTACTGTGCGGCTACAGTTTATTGTGCCATTACAAGTTTGTTGTGTATTTTCTTTGTCGTTTTTGCCATCTTTTGTGACAAAGTGCTAGAATGAGTCTCCTGCGAGTGGTCATCATTGTCGGCTTTCTGCTCCTGTCATCAGGTGTAGAATTAGCTGATGCCCGGCCATTGTCCAACCAGCTAGAGGCTGTGGCCGGGTCTAAACTGGTGATCCCATGTGTGATCACCATGGATGAACTCTCTGGTGCAAACCGGATTCAGATTGAGTGGGGAATGACTCCTGAAAAAGGCGGATCCTACAGATCCATCCTGCAGCGTAGCGACATCGAGCTGCGGCCGGAGATGCACAATGAAGAGGATTGCTCCTTGGTCATCGGCCCTGTCCTCCGAAAAGACAGTGGGACATACGATGTGCACCTCATTGTGGACAATGTCCAGCGTGAACCATTTCAGAAAGTCAAGGTTCATGTCACTGGTAAGTGTTACAGAACTCAGAGATAACTAATGCATGTTTGTTGTTTATTGTTATGTATACGGGTGTCCAGATTACGAGATTGGCAATCTGGGCAGGTACATTTCTGACTACTTGTGTGTTGCTATGTAATCTTGATGGTCAATAGTAGTCTTAGCTATCCATTCTAATGTTCATTATCCAGACATTTAAACTAACTTGTTTTTATATGTGTTTGTGTTCCATCAGTTTCTACCCTGAAGACCGCTGATGCCAAGGCAGCCGGGAAACAGCACAGAAGACTGCGTAGACATGCGGCTAGCCCTTCGGTCACCGACAGTGATGACTCTGTGTTGTTTCCCCCAGTGATGAGTGAGACCAGTAAATATGAGTCGAGTAGCCTGCACGTCGATTCCGATGTTATGTTTCTGGGCAGGACGTTCCATGATCTGAAGGTCAAAGGCGCCCTTCCATTCGCGGCCGCTCTGATCGGACTCATTCTTTTAATACTGATGTTCACCACAGCAGCAGGATGTTACTTTGGGTAAGCCATTTTGCATTTTCTATAGTCTTTCTCTATTGTTTCCATTTTCGATACTACATTATTAATTCTGCAAATTCTTTATCTTCACAGAATTCATTACTGCCAAGATAGACCCAGAGTGATGGTGTTGATAAAGGCAATGGAAGAGGAACGTGCAGCTGACCAGCCAACACCGGAAACGGTGAAAGCTGCGGAAACTATGCCAATAGAATAGATACCCCTCCAGTCACCAAGGGCCCATTCACACCACGTCCATTGGGCCTGTGTTGAGTAACTATGTGCTCAACGCAGGCCCAACATTGTGAGGCATGACTGTTACGGGGAAGACTATACTGGGTGGGCCTCCTACATTTTATTTCTTTGAGAGCGTCCACTTAAAGGCACCTGCATATAATCCACAGGGCTATGATTAACTATAGCATTGAGTCCCACAACAGAACAGAACAGAAAAAAAAATGATATTGCCTCCGGCTGTGGAAAAGACCCACAGAAAAGCAATGCATTGAACCCCAAATGCCATTTGACATCAACTCATATGTGTTCAACACATATCAATGCATGCTATATGCAACATACGTGGTGTGAATGGGCCCTTTTAGACCGACGATATCGCCTCTGTGCTGATTGCCCCAGTAAGTACCGAGACCAGTAATAATGAATGGGGGCTCTACATGGCCATCCTGATCGGAATCTGGTCTTGGGAAATACAACTGGGTGCTATTACTGGTAAATTCACTTTAAATTTTCTCAACAAGCGTGAATATATTTACCTTTCTGGTGGCTCATTTAATAAAAACACAGGCCGCAGGAAAGGTAAGTATATTGACACTTCTTTACATGTGACCTTTAGGAAAAATTGACCCTGAAAATTTCTGATTGCTTATAAAACACACTTGTATAACCTTACTTTTTTTTTTTACTTGCATAGAATTCTAAACTTCCTGCTAAAACCAAAAGTGATGGTGAAGAAAAGATGGAGAAAGAGGGTCAAACAGGAAAAAACATCATCATAAATATCAGGTCAACAGTCACAGTGTGAACGAGCACCAACTGATGACAACCTTACAGAAGAAAATAATTATATTCCCATGTTATCCATTATTCTTCTTTAATAAAAATCTAGTTTCCTGTCCCTAAAACCATTTCTACCTATTTGTATTACTGCTAATATTAAATTGTCATTATGTAGAACTGTTTGACCAGCATACTATGTAGTAAGTTAAAGCCAAACAGTCTAATATGGGAATTATAAAGGGAGACAGAAGGTGTGGGGCACTGGATCATGTACACTTCAATGGATGTTTCCAGTGCAGTATGTCACAACACGGAGGGCATGATAACACTTAGGTAGCTCTCCCAGGAGTCAAAACCAAATGTTGGGTTAGCTGCCTGTTATATCATCATCTGGAGCTATCTCCATCCTGCTTGGTGATCACAAATCCCTTAGTAAGCTCTCCCAGGAGTCAAAGCCAAAGGTTGGGTTAGCTGCCTGTTATATCATCATCTGGAGCTATCTCCATCCTGCTTGGTGATCAAAAATCCCTTAGTAAGCTCTCCCAGGAGTGAAAGCCAAAGGTTGGGTTAGCTGCCTGTTGTATCGCCATCTGGAGTGATCTGTCCTGCTTAGTGATCATAAATCCCTCAGGATTTATCTATCTCGGCTAGCCCAGGACATGCTCTTGTCAGCAATACTAAGCCCCGATGAAGGGAGAGCCTTAGAGCCTCAGAAATGTGCTGGATTGTCATGGTATAAGACAAGAAGTAAAATTATATATGGACTTTACACAATTCTCTTTTGGTGCTTTCCTCCTTGTATATATCGTCTTTACTCATCAGAAGTATAGAAACACCATTCAGTTTTAGCATGTCAGGGGAAATACAATACCCTACCTGATTAATATTAACTATATCATAGTGTAATGTATTAGGGTGTTGTCTATTTAACATACTGCAAAATATTAAATCTATTTGGTATATAAAAGCAGATGTATTTTCATGCATTTACAAATACCTACAATGATCAACATCATCAAAGATATTACACAGAAAAAACAAATTCATTTAAAGCGTATCCACAGTTCCTGTCATAACGTGACAACACTCACTCACTTACACCATACTGTATCTATAGAGGAGTAGTATTTTCTTTCTAGAACAGGAAATGTGTTAAAAAGTAAAGAACACCTCCCCCACTTCTCATCACCGTAACATACTGAGGGTGTTCTGTAATTCACATACCTAATGTCATCTATTACTTTTTATGAAATAAGTATTTCCTTGTCTGCCCCTGAAACTGCTTCTAGCCATGGTCTTGTCATTACTGGC